GTGAAAGCCACTGGTGGGGGGGGGGGGCGGTGCGGCGTCCTAAGCAGATTTACTCTCATTCAACAAATATTTGCTGAGCATCCACTATATAAAAGAATAAAAGACACCATTTTGGACGCAAGAATAGGCAAGAAGTATAACAATAGGTGGCAGTTTTTACTGCTTTACAGGTAACATTTGAACACCCTCCTCTGCTTCTGGTCCAAAGGGACATTGGGGCAGTTTGAGAAGAGGCTCCTTGGGTTTCAACTCGATTTGATTTGATTTAAAAGGGTTGTTCACGTGCATTCCAGGATGGACAAGCCACGCTCCATCATGCATATCCATACCAAAGAGATAGCTGTACAGAGGCAAATATTTTTCCTTGTTTTTGTTTTTCTTGTGATAAGAAGTCATTGAAAGAGAAGTTTCAGACTATATTGCAAAGCTATAATATCAAAACAGTATGACACTGGCATAAAAAACAGACACAAAGACCAATGGAACAGAATGAAGAGCCCAGAAATAAGCCCTTCCACATGGGATCAGCTAATATTTGACAAGGGAGCCAAGAATACTCAATGGGGAAAAGATTGTCTCTTCAATAAATCATGTTGGGAAAACTGGATATCCACATGCAGAGAACGAAACTGGACCCCTGTCTTACACCACTGACAAAAGTAACTCAAAATGGGTTAAAGATTTAAACATCAGACCTAAAGCCATAAAACTCCTAGAAGTAAATACGGAAAAAGTACCGTGAGATTGGTCTTGGCAATAATTTTTTGGATATGACACTAAAAGCAAAAATAAATGAATAATCGGGCCACATCAAACTAAAAACTTCTGCAGAGCAAAAGAAACAAAATGAAAATGCAACCCACGAATGGAAGAAAATATTTGCAAGCCGTCTATCTAATAAGGGGTTAATATCCAAAATATATAAGGACCTCATACAACTCAATTGCAACAAAGGAATCTGATTTAAAAATTGGAAGAGGACTTGAATAGACATTTTTTCATAGAAGATACACAAATGGCCAGGAGGTACATGAAAAGATGCTCGACATCACTGATTATCGGGGAACCAAACCAAAACCACAATGAGATACCACCTCACACCTATTAGAATGGCTGTCATCAAGAAGACAAGAGAGGGGTTGGCCGTATGGCGTAAGTCCAGCATGCTCTGCTTCAGCAGCCCAGGTGTGCAGGTTCAGATCCCAGGCACAGACCTACAGCACTTGTCAAGCCATGTTGTGGCAGCAACCCACGTACAAAATAGAAGAAGATTGGCACAGATGTTAGCTCAGAGCAAATCTTCCTCGCCAAAAAAAAGAAGAAGAAGACAACAAGAGACAACAAGTGTTGGTGAGGATGTGGAGAAAAGGGAACCCTTGTGCATTCTTGGTGAGAGTGTAAATTGGTACAGCCACTATGGAAAACTATATGGAAGCTCCTCAAAAAAATAAAAATAGAACTACTATGTGATCCTGCAATCCCCTCCTGGGTCTATATCCAAAGGAAATGAAATCAGGATCTCGAAGAGATATCTGCACCCCCATGTTCATTGCATCGTTATTCACAATAGCCAAGAGATATATATAAAATGGAATATGGTTCAGCCATGAGAAAGAAGGAAATCCTGCCATTTGTGACAACATGGATGGACCTTCAGAGCCTTATGCTATGTGAGATAAGTCAGAGGGAGAAAGTCAAATACTGTATGATCTCACTCCTAAGTAGAAGATAAAAACAATGACAAACACATAGCAATGGAGATTGGATTGGTGGTTACCAGAGAGGAAGCGGGGAAGGAGGAGGGGAAGGGGTGATTAGGGACCTGTGTGGTGATGGATTAGAATTAGTCTTTGAGTGGTGAACATGATGTAATCTATACAGAATTTGAAATATATTATGATGTACATCTGAAAGTTATATAATGTTATAATCCAATGTTACTGCTATAAAAACAAAAATTAAAATTAAAAAAAAGAAACTTCCAGTACAAGACGAGTAAGCTCTGGGGGTCTAAGGTTCAGCATGGTGATAATTAACAAGGCTGTGTTATATACTTGAAAGTTGCTAAGAGAGTAGGTCTTAAGTGTTTTTACCATTAAAACAGGTAATTATGTGAGGTGATAGAAGTGTTAACTAACCCTATTGTGGTAATTATTTCACAATATATAAGTACATCCGGTCACTGCAAAGTACAACTTAAACTTACACAGTGTTATATGTCAATTATATTTTAATAAAGCTGGGTTGGGAGGGCATGCATTTCTCTCTAGACTTCTTGATATCTTAAGATCAGGCTTCTGGAGGACCCTGCTCGTAAGCTTCCTGGAAACCCTTCTGTCTAGCTGGGAGCTGCTCATATTTTCAGAGGTAATTATAACCAAAGGTCATGAAGCCACATTGTTAATCTGATCTATATTCACAGGCTGTTTTTCACTTTGATAATGTGTTGTGGCTACAGAGACTGGATGTGAGAAAGAGTTTTCTTTTCCAACCTAGCAAGCTGTAGTCCTTCTATATTTCCTCTAAATTCTTCTGGGAAAGCAGCCAGTTTCTTCCATAGGTCAACCCTCTCTCGCTGTGCCTGATCACGCTCATCCATGAGTAACCAGCCTGATGGCTGGAGCTCTCCTTAGCCAAACACAACAGTATATTGGAAATATTTTCCATCTTCTAGGGAACCACAGGCAATAGTTTACCCATTATTTCATTACGTCGTAACATGGGTCACCATCTTTTCTGCCCCAATAACAACTTCCTCGCTGTTTTCCCTACATAGTTTATCCTTTTGTTAGAGCACTACCCAACTCCTGGCACCAATTCTGGGGCAGTGATCCACTGCCACAATAACGTTGCATGACCAATCATATCAAACACCGTGGCATAAAACGATAACCATTTATTTAGCGTATGAACCTGGAAGTCAGCTGGTAGGTCAGCTGGGGACTGACTGATCTTGAATGCCTTGTCTGCCATGGCTTCCCTCAGCTCCGTATTGTCTTCCACCCTCCAGCAAACTGCTCCAGTGGTGTTCTCATGTGGAGACAGGAGCCCGAGAGAGAACAGAAGCACAAAACGCCTCCCGAGGTCCAGTCTTGAAACTGACACACCATCACTTCTGCCACATCCGATTGGTCAAAGCAGGTCATAAGACCAGTTCAGATTCAAGGGTGGAGAAAAAGAATCTGCCTCTTGATGAGAGCTGCAAACTCATATTACCAAGGGTGTAGACGCAGGGAGGGTGGGAACTGGGGCCACTTTGGCAATTAATACAGCACAGTAACAATCTTGGGACAAGAGACAAGGCTTGTAACATCATACTTAGAAATCACCACAGCATTAAACACCTCAGGAAAGAGAAGCAAATCTGGAAAATCCCCTAGTCAGAGCTTAGAGAAAGAAGCACTTGTGTCTATCAATAAGTCGGCTCAGCCCATCTAGCGAGCAGAAGATGTAAAGCCTGGGATAACCAGGGGTAGTAAGGATGCGGAAATGAAACCATGATTTCCCCAACTGTCCCAAGCCAGGTGCAGATTCTGAGTTGAGGGTTCATCCCACATCCATGAAATTACTGGTTTAATTCTGAGGTCAACATGGGGATTTACCCTTTCAAGGAAATCCTTTTTCACAGTAAGAATAAATTTCCCACCAGTGCTGTTTGTCACAGGCTTTGCAGCTTTGGGGAGAAGCCAATCCCATCCCTTTCCTATGAACTCTTCACCTCCTCTTTAAAAATGTCAATCGTATGCCCATGGGTTTAAATTCCCTTCTCTATTTTTTTCCTGTAAAAATACATCGGCGTGGAGCCCCTGATCTCAGCTCCCTTAGCTGTTCAGTTTACAGCATGGCAGACACTGTCCTCAAATGAGCCTGGCAGCAGGTCAGGGACACAGACGAGCAGTGATACAGGAACAGTCTTGGGAGCAATAGCTAACCTGGAATCTATCTTAAATTTTTGCTATCTCCCCACATGAGCTCTTCTGTTTAACACACCATAATTTTGATTAGAGCCATTCCTATTCCCAGGTAATAGGAGGGCCTTTCTGCTTCTGCTGTAAGGTGGTTTCGGCATCAGAAGGCAGGATTGCATTTGCCTCCATGGGATTATAACAAGTTACTGCGATGTCTAGTTCCTCCTCTAATAATATATGTTGGTACCTAAGTCTGGGAATTCTTTTGTTAAGTACTCGTGATTTTCCGGGCAGCCTGAGGGTGGAAGCAATGGATTGTTCATCTCCAGCCTAACCCAGGAGCTGCTTGAAAGGAGCCACACACGCAGCGATTGCAGAGATGCTGGTGGGAAGCTGTTGGAAGCAGGAGTAGGCTGGATGTTGTGTTTTAGAAATGTGGTACTTGGACCAGGGAGATAAAAATGCAGCCTCATGGTCTGTGGATGAGGCTTTCATGCCTCAGAATAGCTACTGCCGACAGGGCAGGGAACCGTGAGTCGCTAAAGTAATTTGCCGATGCCCCATGAAGCATGGCATCAAGATGGGGTCACTACCAGCAAAATCAAAGGTGCAATTTCCTTATACGATGTTTTCCCGTTAATTAGAATAAAGAGAAAGAAATTGGAGAGTCAATATTTAAGATGCATGTTGTAATATTATGGGACACATAAAAAGAATGATAATAAATATGTAACTATCAAGAAAACGAACTATTTATAACCACAATGAAAAACATGAGTGAATCTCATAAAAATAATGTTGTGTGAAAGAAACCAGACACAAGAGGGTATAAAGTTCAAAAAACAAGCAAAACTAAGCTACAGTATTAGGAATGCGCCCCTAGGTAGTGAAAACAGCAAGGAAATGATTACCGTAAATATCAGGATAGTCGTTCCCTCGGGGGGTAGAAAGGACAGAATCGTGATAAGAACGGAGTAAGGCTCTGGGACACTGGAAATATTCAATTTCGTGATCTGAGTGGAGGTTACATGGGTGTTCGCTTTGTGATAAATCATTCAGCTGTATATTTATATTTTGTATACTTTTCTGCCTCTATTATATTGCACAAAGAAGATGTAGAAACAAATAAATGTCCAAGAGTAGCCAAAGAAATTTTAAATAACAAGAAGAGTGTATTATTATAAAGCTTTGGTAGCTAAGAGAATTGGTATTGGTGAAGACAGACAAACGAATAAATGGGAAAAAATAAAGACTCCCCCCGCCCCCACAAAAAAAAAAACGATGAATCTAGAATATCTTGGTATATAATAGAAGTGGCATTACAATCACAGGAGAACAAGCAGCTTAGAGAGCAGCATCTTGGGATGGAATCTTGACAAAGCCAACAGGAGGCGATCTTGTGACCTTCCTTATAAACAGTAAACTGCTCGAAACGTAAAAAAAAGGCTCCGCCCTTCGTGGTTTCCTTAGACCCGGGACCGTTTCAAAGATGTCAGCGCTTCCGGCCGCTAGGTGGCACCTGGAGGACAGCGGGCACCTGGGGACGCCGCATGCGCAGTGCTCTTAGGTGTAACCGGAGGATCCAGGCTCGCGCGCGCACCGGTTTGCGCGCAGCGGTCACCTGTGCCCAGAGCGCTCGCGCACGCGCACTTCCGCGCACACCTGTCATCGCGCTGCCCGGGTGTTCCAATTTCTCCGGGAGCCGCCGAGCCGACCCCGCGGTCCGCGATGTCCGAGCTGCCCGCGGACAGCAAGGTCTCGCAGACGGACGCGGCGAGCGGCAATAGCGACGTCCCGAGGGCCGAGGTAGGCGGCGGGAGGCGGGAGCCGGTCCCCTTCCCGGCGCGGCCTGCGGGGACGAGGACAGCTCCGATGGCGGAGGCCGGGGAAGGTCCGATGGCGGAGGCCGGGGAATGTCCGATGGCTGCTCTCGGGGCAGCTCCGATGGCGGAGGCCAGAGAAGGTCCGATGGCGGAGGCCGGGGCAGCTCCGATGGCGGAGGCCAGAGAAGGTCCGATGGCGGAGGCCGGGGTAGGTCCGATGGCGGAGGCCAGAGAAGGTCCGATGGCGGAGGCCAGGGAAAGTCCGATGGCGGAGGCGAGGGCAGGTCCGATGGCGGCGCCCAGGGAAGCCCAGATGGCAGAGGTCGCCCGATTGTTGGCAGAACCGGCGGAGGAAGAGGGTCCCGAGGGCAGGCCCAGGTCCGGGCCCGGGAACAGCCCAGGAGGCGCGGCCGCGTTGCCGTATCTGCGCCTCCGCCCCCCGGTTAGCGCCGTGGGAATGAGCCTCTCCCTGGACCATCGCCCGCTCGCCCCGCGCAGGGTGCAGGAGCCCGCAGAACGCCGCAGGAGACTCGCCGACGCCTGCGCAGCGAGGGGAGCGGCGTTGGATGCCCGGTATCAGCGGAATCCTCAGAGGATGGATTTTGATCTCTTAACGTTTACTGTCGCTCTGACTGCGTCTGAAGTTATCAATCCTCTGATAGAAGAACTCGGCTGTGACAAGTTTATCCCCAGAGAATAGTTTGGTGATGGCATTTGCTCCAGAAAGAACCTCCGTATTCCAGACAGTCTTAGACCAATCCTGTAACTTGATTTTAACAAGTCAAAGGATGTGAGAATAAGGCAATGCACAGTTGGCGGGGGGGAGACGAGGGGAAAAGGAAGCTTATCATGAAAAAGCATCAGAAGATAGAAAAAAATCTCAAAGTGTTAGGACTAACGTTCTTGGAGTTTGTGACGGATCCAGATTCTTTTCCCTGCGTTGCGGAAATGCCTTTAAAATTGCTTCGCTACAAAATGAAAGATGGTTTTATAAAATTGAGACTTGATGAAGAAAAATGGCCAATAATAGAGCCCATGATGGTGAAAGAAATTATTTGGATAGTAGTGATCGGAATAAGGGGCTGCCGCTGAGTTATTCGGGCTGGAAGGCCGTGGAGAGAACTTGAAATTGTCAGAATATGTTCTCTTCATGGCAGATTCCACAGAAGTTTTTAGTGTAAGGTTGGTTTTGTGTTTTCTGAGCCATGTCAAATGGCTAGCAAAGTAAATATTGTATGTATTACGTGATAAATCATGTATTCGGGGATATCTGAACTTTCTGGATTTTTTTCTTGCATTCAGTTTTTAATTTTATTTAAACTTTTTTGGGTAAATATTCACAAGCCCCATAATATACAGTGACAAGTCTTCCATCCCTGTCCCCTCCACCCGGTACCTGCCACAGCCCCCGTCTGGAACCACAGCTCCTCTTCTGTCCTTCCAGTTTCCTTACGGATATGCAAGCAAATGCAAATCTGGGTGGGTTTTCTTCTTCATTTCCTCACAAAAATGGGCATATTTTATTTTCTGATTTATATGTTGCTTTTTCAGTAAGAACGTATCTTGAAGATCCTTCCAAACCGCTGCATTTGCTCTTCTTTTTTTTTTTAGAGCTGCATTTTATTCCGTTCTGTGGTTGTGCTGTAATTTGCTTAAGCAAGAATGTATTGATGGGCATTTAGGTTGTTGCCCATTTTTTTCTATTGGCAAAAAGAAATTGCTGTAAGAGTTAATCTTCTGCACGTATCACGTGGCATGTGTACAGATACAGTATTGCTTCCTTCTAAATGCATTTTTCATCTATTGACATCTCTGAAATTGGGGTACATCTTACATTTCATGGTGTAATACAGCATTTTCATAAAAATAATGGTGTATCTTATAATCGGCGGCTTCTTAGATACTTTGTTATATATAATATCTATAGTATGAATTTCCAGCACCGAGAATTTGGGGCTGAAGGTACTCATTTGAAGTTTTATAGATGTTGTTAAGTTGCCTTTCCTGCATGTTGTGCCACTTACTCTCTCAGCAGCAACTGATGAACGTGACGTTTCCTATGGTCTAGCCAACACAGTAAACCGGCAAATGTCTGGATTTTGCTAATCTATATAGTTGAAATATGGTCTATCAGTTTTAATTTGCCTTTCTCTTATGAACAAAGTTAAGTATCTTTTCATTTAAAAGTCATATATATTCGCTTTTCCGTGAACTATCTGTTCATATCATTAACCATTTCTCTCCTGAATAATTTTGGGTTTTTTTATTGATTCTAGTAACTATTTATGTAGTGATATGAGAGATGATAATAGCTTGTGATGTGAGTTATATTTTTTCCCTTTAAGCATGGAGATTTTGGCTTTTGTTTTTGTTTCCGATTTTCTTTAAAACCTTCTAGATTTTGAATCTCAGAGTTTTTATGATGCATGTGTGTTATTTCATTGTTCATATTAGAATCTTTAAACTATTTGAAATTTATCCTGATGTCCAGTATAAGGTCAGGATCCAATTTTTTTTTAGATGGCCACCTGATTGCTCCAAAACCAGTTGCTAACTAGTCCATCTTTTCCCCGCTGAGTTTTTTAAAGATGCTTCTTCATCTTATACTAAACTGTGTTGAACTAGTGTTAAACTCTGCTAAAGTAGTGTTAAATCTGGTGATGCTGAAATCCTCATTTTCCTTCTTTTTCAGAGTGTTTCTGGCTATTTTTGTTTACTTGTATTACTATGTCAACCTTAAAGTCAGCTTACGTTATTTCAAACACAGCTTTTTTATGAGAATCATATCGTACTTCGTTGACTCAAGGGTAACTGCTCTCTTTGAGACATTGAGTCTTCCTACCCAAATGACCTCTTTTTCCATTTTTTTTAAGACTTCCCTTTGTATCCTTCAGGAGAGTGTTCATGTCTGTCCTTAATGTCCCTAAAGGAGATCTTAGTCATTTAGTCCCAGATATTTTCTTTTCTTTCTTTTATTTATTTATTTTATTTTATTTTATTTTATTTATTTATTTTTTTATTTTTTTTTTTTTTTTTTGCTGTAGTAAATGAGGATTATTTTGGTTACATTTTGTAAAAACTTGCCTGGGTATTTGAAAATAATTGATTTCTGCCTATTTATTTGGTAGCCTGTGAACATACGGAATTCTTTTATTGTTTATAGTAGTTTTCATTGGGTTCTCTTAGCTGGAGAACAAGTCATACGCAAATAGTGATAATATGGCCTCTTTTACAACTTTTATGCCTGTAATTTCTTCCTCCTTATTAATTCCCCGGCTAGTACCTTCCGTCTGATGTAAAATAGTGTGAATGATAGTGAAGCATCCTTGTCTTGGTTCTCGTTTTATGGAAATTCTTCCAGTATCCATCTATTGCTCTGTGTGTGTGTGTGTGCGCGCGCACGCGTGTGTTTTATCAACAGTGGTTGTTGAATTTTGTCAAAGGCCTTTTCCGAATCTGTGAAGGTGACCCTAGGCTTATTATTCCATCTGCCACCACAGTGAGTCACATTTAGAGCTATTGATAACGTGTGGTTTGCATTCTTCAAATGAGCTTTATTTACAAACGGAGTACAATCCTTTTAATGTGCTTCTGGATCTCGGCTTCTTTTTTAAGGATGTTTGCATTCGTATTCATAAGTGAGATTGCTGTGTCGTTTTCTAGTGGAGTATTTGTTACTATTAGATATTAATGCTATTGCATCAAATAAATTATTTGTAAGTTTTCCTTCTTTTCTAAGTTCTGGAACATTTTTAAATCCATTAGAATTATCCATTTAAGGTTTGGTAGAATTTCCCTTTAGGACCATCTGGGCTGGGGCTTGGGGTGTGGGAGCTGAGATCTCTTTCACGTCTTTATTTTTCCCCCACGGTAAGAGCAGGAGATTTTTACATACTTTGAAGACAAACATGTCCTCACTGAGTTAGAATGTAGCATTTTTCTTGACTTTCTTTTTCTTTTTTTTTGAGGAAGATTAGCCCTGAGCTAATGTCTGCTGCCAACCTTCTTTTTGCTGAGGAAGACTGGCCCTGAGCTAACATCCGTGCCCATCTTCCTCTACTTTATATGTGGGACGCCTACCATAGCATGGCTTGCCAAGCGGTGCCGTGTCTGCACCCGGGATCCGAACTGGCAAACCCAGGACTTCTGAAGCAGAACGTGCGCAGTTAACCGCTGCGCCATCAGGCCGGCCCCCTTTCTTGACTTCCTTGATCACACGCCTTTCTTTACACTTGATGGTAACGGAAGGGAGTTGTCAAACTTGGAAGAGCGTTATGCAATAAATAGGAGTGCATAACACATATAAAACTCTCCAAAATCGTCTTCAGGAAGCTTGGTCTCTTTCTCTGATATGGTGGGTATCTCAAGGTCCAAACCGTCTCGCTTAGATTCAGGAAATCGCCTGGAATTTCTACTTCTCAGGTTACTCAGGCTGCTTATTCTCAGAGTTCTTCCAGCATCTGGCCAGAGATAGAAATGGCAGGTTTCTACCCCGGAGGGAAGCTAAACTCGGGTTTAGAGAAAAAGGGGTGGACGTCCAAACAGTAAGAATTGTAATAACTCAGATTTCCACAGTTCTGAACTGCTTAGTCATAGATTTTTCTCACTTAATTTTTCCAGAAGAGAACACTGAGGCTCAAAGAGTTGAGTGGTTTTTCTGGGTCCGTCTGACCCCAGATCATGAGCTGGTCCCATCAGAGGGCATTGTCCTCACAGTGGAGTTGGCCCCTCAACAGGGCAGAGATGCTAGACCGGGGTCACAGAAGTATTGAGAGCACACTACTGGTGTCAGACTGCTTGGGTTCAAACTCTGGTGTTGACGATCTCTGTGAGACCCTGGGCATCTTACTCAACGCTCTGTTTCTCTTGAGTTGATCCCAAACCTCACTCCATTTCTTCCACTGCCTTATGAGTGATGAAATCTTATAGAGGTGAAACATAGAAACTTTCATGACGAGGGGAACACATAAGAATCTAGACTTCCTGGACCAACTCACAGCCTTAGAATATGTAAATACATATTATCGTGTAAACCGAATTTAGTTTTTTTATGAAAACCTGAATATGTGACCTCATATCTGAGTCCCAGACTCAGCTGATTTGGAGATGCGCCAGCATGGGTAGGGCTCCCAGTAAGGATGGCACTGGGCTGCCAGCTCTAACTGGATGTGACTAGCATCATGGGTAGGGTTCTATTTCCTTCAAGGATTGAGAGGAAGACACAGAAAAGGAAAGTGGGGGTAGTTCTCTACCCATCAGATAACAAAAATGACTATATTGACCCTATTTCCTCCTGTCGCCAAGACCTACCCATACCTATTGATTTCTGCAAGGAAAGGAAAAAAGACCTCCACTTCTCCAGAAATGGATGGGTCACAGGGCCTTAAGGGGAGGAAACACCAGGTGAGAATCATTGCATCCTCAAAATAGAAATAGACTTCATGATATAATAAGAAAGATATTGCCCTTTTGCCCGGTTCCTGGCACAGAGCTCCTACAACTTGGAATTCCCTGAATGATAAGGGTGCTAGGAACATCTTTTGTTCCAGTGAGGAAGGTGACTTTTGGCTGAGAGGCCCCTAGACAGCTTCAGGGTGGGGGCTGATTGCCAGAAAGATCAAGCTTTGATTAGAGGCTTGGAACGTTCAGCCCCAAACCCCAACGTCCAGGAAGGGGAGGGGGGCTGGAGACTGAGTCAATCACCGTGGCCAATGATTTAATCAATCGTACCTACCCTACATAACGAAACCTCCATAAAAACCCCTGAACAACGGGATTGGGAGAGCTCCCAAGTTGGTGAACACATCGAGGTCCTGGGAGGGTGGTGCACCCACAAAGGGTATAGCAGCCTCATGCCCCTTCCCCTACACTACACCCTGCGCATCTCTCCCATTTGGCTCTTCCTGAGTTGCCTCGTTTACAATAGACCAGTGACAGGAAGTCAAGTGCTTTCCTGAGTTCTGTGAGTCATTCCAGTGAATTATCAAACCTGAGGAGGGGGTTTTTGGAACCCCAGAATTTATAACTGGTTGGTCAGAAGTACAGGTGACAACCTGGGACTTTTGACTGGCATCTGAAGTGGGGGCAGTCTTGTGGGACTGAGTCCTTAACTCGTGGTGTCTCATGCAAGCTCCAGGAGATGGCGCCAGAATTGAATCGAGTTGTAGGACACCCAGCTAGTGTCCAGAGTGTTGGACAACTGGTTGTCGGAAGTATTGTGAGTCAAAACGGTTCAGCAGACAACAAGTTTTAAAACAGCCATTATAAATAAGTTCAGTAACTCAAAGGAAAATATGTACACAATAAGTTAATAGATGAGGAGAATCTCAGCAGGAAATAGGAACATTGATGACAAACTCAACTGTGTATCTAGGCACCACTGCCCATGGAAGCCACATGGGTGCTTGGCCAGTGTGACGTCCTCACCCTGCTGTCCTGCAGTGTCCTGTAGACCCTTCTCTAGCCTGTGATCTTGGGAAACCAGGGGTCCAGCAAGATCAACGAAGCCATGGGTGACTAATGGGGGATCTGCAGTTAGACATTCTGTGTGAATAAAGAAAATAAGAATTCAAAGGGCCTTCATAACGTGTGAACGTTTCTCACCGCGTGTCTCCTCTTTGTGTCTGAGTCTGACAGATAATGGAGTGATGATATATTGGTTTGAGGAGAACAGACTGGTTCTCCAACCCCAAAGCCGTCCTTCCCGGTGGGGCTGTGGAGGCAGTCTGGGGAGGTGTTATCGCAAATGTTCCGGAAGAGCTTCGGAGATGAATTCAGATAGGACTGTAGGGGAGGAAGACATTTCCTCTACCCACTCTAGGTCCTTCTGGCCGGGCTACGAACCAAATTGACATGAGACAGAATAACAGGAGAAAGTCAAACAAATCTTCATAATGCGTGCACATGGGAGACATGCAGGAAAACTGAGCAACTCATCACCAAAATGGTGGAAGCTCTCATCTTAAATACCATCTTCAGCTAAAGACAAAGGAGGATGTTGGGGGTACGGGTGTGGGATGTCAAGGGAGTGGAAGGTAATTTACATGGAGATGGAAATGTAAATGGGCCAACTACAGACACTGCGACCTGAGAGGCACGTTTTACGTTACATTATAGTTATCTTATGGTGTTAGCTCCTTCCTGGAACAGGCCATTCTATTTTAAATTCTTTTAGGCAATTGGGAGGGGGGTCAAAGTTTCTCTCAGAGTCTTTGTTCTTAAAAACAATCAAGCCGAAGAAACACACTTTGAGATGGTCAATTCTGATCCCCCACAGGACCTGTCCACCCTGAAGGATGTCCTGCCTCACCAGGAAAATAATCACTCCTTCATCAGAGCTGATTACAAAAAAGGAAAGAAAAGGAAGAGAAGACAAAAGGCCAGGGGCAGGTTGGAGACATTCTGTGTTCATTTTAGTCCTTTAACCTCCAAGTGATGCACTTTAATTCAATTCTGATGCTGGCATCAGACTCCCCAGGTTTAAGATCTCGGGCCCCAAGACTCCGCTCACCTCAGATGCCAGCCATAAGTCTCAGGGGCCACCAGCATTCCTGACTGATGGCGATGTATTCAGGGCTTCCCATGACCCGCTCAGGTTTGATAATTTGCTAGAACAGCTCACAGAACTCACTGAAAGTGCTCTGCTTGCAGTGTTATTATAAAGGATACCACTCAGGAACAGCCAAATGACAACGCACACAGGGTAAGATCTGGGGGTCCCAGAGGCAGAGCTTCCGTGGCCTCTCCCTATCACCTTCCTCGCACATCAGTGTGTTCACCAGCCAGGAGGCTCCCCTGAGCTTGAGCATCCAGAGTTTTTATATGGCGTTTCATTCCATAGGCATGATTGATTAAATCATTGGCCAAGTAATTGCGCAAAATCTCCAGCCCCTCCCCCCACCCCTAGGTTGGGCTGTCCCGAATTTCCAACCTTCCAATCACATGGGTTGGTCTTCTGGTGACTAGCCCCAATCCTAAAGCTATCTAGGTGCCCGCTACTAGTCACTTCATTAGTACAACAAAGATATTCCCATCACTCAGAAAATTGTAAGGACTTTTGAAGCTCTGTGCTGGGAACCGGGTACGAAGACCATATATATTCTCCATGATACCACACCACTCCATATACATTGTTCTCAAATGAGCTTGAATTTCTGTAACCTGAAGAATCATAATTCTCCCCAAGAAGAGCAAAAGACAGACCAGGGAGCAAGGCACAGACTGATCATGGAATAAAAATTTTACGAATTCATGTTTCCATGGCCCCAAACACCTTGGACAGAAACTAGCTCTGACCTTTGCCTCCCAAGGCCAAGGGTGAAAACTGAGACTTGAACCCAATCTCTTCCCACACAGCCCATCCTTGTGGGGTCGGAGTGGTCTGCACGGGAGGGGGAAGCCCTCTTTCACTCTCCAGGTCCCGCAGAAGCGGGGCTACAGTTTGACCTCATCCTCCACACCTCAGAGGACATGGGGCAGGGCAGGAAGGGCCCCATAACCCGGCCGTGAGTGTCCCCCATCCCATCTCCCCACTGCCCATTGCCTTTCCTCTTGTGGCAGCCTCTCTCTGGGCCAATCTGTGAAGACATAAGCAGCAGGGGGCCCAGGTAGCTTGGGTGCCCAAAAGGAGCACTTTTATTAAGAAAAATTTCAAGCATATACAAAAATGGAAAGGATAGTATAATCCTCAAAATTCTATACATTATCCAGTATTTACCTAAAAACA